CTTGGGCTGTCATAACAAGATATCATAGACTGGGTAGCTTAAACAGAAATGTATTTATATATAAACATAATTTTCTTTCTCCAGTAAAGTCTGAGGTCAGGGTGACAGCATGGTTAGTCAGTGAGGACCCTCTTTCTGGCTTGCAGACTGCCAACTTCTCACTGTGTCCCCACATAGTGGAGAGACAGAGAGCTCTTTGGTGTCGCTCCATATTTAGGCATGAATCCTATCAGATCAGAGCCCTATTCTAATGACCTCACTCAACCTTAATTGCTCCCCAAAAGGCCCTGTTTCTTAATACAGCTACATTTGGGATTAGTGCTTGTCTTAGTCTGTTTTTGCATTGCTAGGAAAGATAGAAGTTTATAAACTCATGATTCCATGACCCAATGGTTAAGGGAGCTGGATCCCCACATGGCTGACTGTGCAATTCAAATCTGGCCCTGGAAGCCTGAAAAACACATCAGGGAGACCAGCAGTTAGCATAATGGCTATTTTGCTGGACTCCCTCTATCGTGGTTCGAGTCCCAGACCTGGTGGCTTAAACTCATGTCAGGCGCATGTGCATGCGTGCCCAAGATCCCAAGAGGAGAATGGAGGAGAAGGGATTGTGGCGTGGCCATCCCCCCTGGGGAGGGGGGGTGATTTCTCGCTTTCTGTCTCTCTGTCTCTGTCTTTCTGGCAAACGCATGCACCCTATAGCAAAAACCTCAAAAAAAAAAAAAAATCAGGCACATGGATGTGCATGCCCAAAATCCTAACAGGAGGAAGAGGAAAAGAAAAAGGGATTGTGGCATGACCATGCCCAATTGAAGGATGCATTTTTCCTCTCTCTCTCTCTAGTGAGCACATGCACCTTCTAGGAAATTGGAAAAAAAAATAAGAAAAGGAATAAATGAAGACTTTAAGACAAAAGCTTAAAATTGCATAGAAATATCTTTAGTGCAAGTGTGGTTGGTTTAGTGACTTCATAAATTACCACACTTATTTTAAGCCTATTTGGAGAAACTTCAAATGCAGATAAAGCTGCAAAGACATTTGCTCCATGTTAAGAAAAAAAATTATGAAGGAAACTTCAGCCTGGTTTATTCATTTAACTTTTAATGTTGATAAAACTGGTCACTATGAGAAATGAACTATGTGGGCTGACACCATGGCCTGGTGGTTAAGGAAACTGGATCTCACATGACCAATAGCATGATTTGAATCCCAGCCCCTACAGCTTGAAAAATCACACTACGTGCATGTGTATGTGTGCCCATACTCCCAATAGGATGGAGAAATGGAAGAGGATTATGGTGTGACCACGCCCCATTGTGGGACGCTGTCTTCCTCTCCCTCTTTCTTTCTGTCTCTCTGTTGAGTGCATGCACTCCCTAACCATTTTTTTAAAAGAATATAAAAGAACCATATACAGATTTTAGGATGCAAAAGATCAGGATCAGGTTGAAAGACTCACATGCGGGTTTCGCCAGGCCAGAATTTTATTGGATTATTATTGCTTTTGTCTGTCTCTGGTTGCAAAATGCCATTGATTTTAAGAATCTGCCCACTTCCATTTTCCCATAAATCCTGTTATTTTCTATTTACAGCTGTGAAGAAACCAAGGTTTTGAGGAGAACATACATGAGGTTATTACAAAAAATGCCAGTACATAAAATATCTTATACTAATACTTATTAATTACACCATTTTATAGTTACTCTCCCCCCCCTCATTTCATGAGTTAGCTCTTCTTGGGAGCTGGATGATGGTGCAGTAACACAATACCACAAGGCTGACCCACATGGGAAGGTTCTGGGTTCATATCTGGAGACCTCCCTAAACACACCAGGTATACATACGCCCATGATCCAGGGCTGGCTGAAGCTAGGGGTGGATTGCAACATTATAACCTCTATTGGGGATGTCTCTCTCTCTCTCTCTCTCTCTCTCTCTTTCTCTCTCTCATCTCTCAGAAGAAAGGAAGGAAGGAAGGAAGGAAGGAAGGAAGGAAGGAAGGAAGGAAGGAAGGAAAAAAGGAAAATATATACAACTCAGCTTTTCTGGGAAGGCCTCCTAATCACAATCCCCTATACACATCCTCGTTAATTTAATTGGTATTCCCATCCATCTCCTTTCTTCCTACTTCATAAAACCTTCCACAGTTCATTACATTTCTTTTGATGTGAACTCTGAGATTCCTGAAAGAAAAACTCTGCTGTATCTTTTAGTCTCAGTACCTGATTAAACAGCACTATTGTTGCCAATTAATGACATTGGCAGATGGACAGAGGCACTCTCTGAGTGCAGGCACCATGCATGCCTTACCAGTCACTGCGGTCCTGGACCTGGTACACAAGAATACCCAGGCATGTGTTCAATGAACAGGAATCATGGAAGAGTGACTTGACAGCTTTTCCCTGGTTTATACCATCTTCCCACAGACCTGCTTTCCACATGTTAACTTGGGCAGTTTTTGCCACACCCAAATGCTGGCAAGATCAGGAAATGTTCCCATTTTGGATATAAGAAAACTGACTTATCATCAGGAAAACAGGCTAGAGAATCCTCTGGTCAGTGATAGAACTGCCTACCCAGAGGCCATGGCTCTTTGTTCAATCTGAGCTTTCACCTTTCTTGTTTAAACCTTTGCATTTCTACTCCCCAGATTTCCGCTTCCTGTTAGAACATATAAATGATTTATGCAACTGACATATCTGTCTATGTACATAATTCTCTTTGTTCTTTTTTCAGATTGAATATTATTCATATGTGATACCTACATTTTTATAAAACTGCCTAAATTTAAAGAAAATGTCTGTAATACACACACTGCCTACTTTGTATTAACCAACAGTGCCTTCCAACCTCCCAACAAAGTCTACCTTGACTCTGTGACAGTCTCCCTTATAGACTCAAGATCACTGGGCACCTGGTTGCAGTTGTTCATAATCACCATGGTATTCCCACCCAAGGGCCTTTGCATATCTGTTCCCTCTGCCTAGAAAGCATCCTCACTTAGTTCAGATTCACTCAGCCTTTAATGTGTACTCAAACATCTTCTCAGGAAAGCCTCTGTGACCTCCATGACCACACCTAATTCTCCCATGATGTGTTCTCAAGCACAGTGTAACTGTCCCTTGGGTTCATTTCTACAGATACCATTTAGACGGATGTGTATAGTTCTATGATGGTTGTCTGTATCATGCCAGACACCACGTTAGTTTTGGCTCAGTCCCAAACTTCAGACATCACACTGGCCCATTCTGGACTAGCTGCCTTATACCACTTCATCTTTTGTGTCCCCATAACCTGATTGACCTGCCTGGTGCCAGCCTCTATACCTGGATCAGACTTTCCCAAACATCTAATTAATGTCTACGTGGCACAGTCCTTTCAGTGGCAGTCCCCTATTATTTGCACAGGAGCCCCGCCAGTGCAGTGATAAGATTAAGAGGGCAGTGGAAGTGCTCCCTACTCCTACTACAATTAGGACTCAGTCTTAAGTCTGAGCTTTGGTGGGCTTGTGTCCTTGGGCTATGACCTTCACAAGTAAGTCTCAGTTTTCTCTTTTGTTTTCTACCCTATCCTCCAGGTAAAATTGAAAACAAACAAATAAACAAAAAAATTGGACTTAGCTATTTTCCTCCCCCATGTCTGATAATCTTTAGTAAGACAACAGCAAGTGAAGATCTTATAAAATAGCTTCTCAGGAGAGAAGGCTTTATTAAGAAAAACAGAATTTTATGGATTTTATTCAAAATGGCTACATTTTCCCCTCCCTCTGCTGGAAGCACAAAGGGATTTCTTTTCTCTAATCTTCCTATGAGAACTTTGTTGGGCTCTTGGAGGTAAAAACTAATGAAAATGTAGGGTCACTCCCGACCTCCAGGAGCCCCCTGACCTTTTAACCATCAGACTTGTCCATAGAGAACTTTCAGAAATTCACCAGAGTTCAAGTTTTCCTACCATGGTTCTGATTCCTGAGGTTTTCTGCTCCCTGTTTTCTGATCTTATAAATTATGACTCTTTCTATCTGCCTCTATCTCTTCAATTTGGGGACAATGGTTTACCTTGTGACTTCACATCACCAAGTATAAATATTTTGTCTGTTCAGCTTTTTCCTTGTTCCAAACTTCCTTCGTGCTAGATCAGAAATCATAAGTCTAGTTTTGCCCAGACTCCACACAACATGATGAATGGCTTTCTGCTCAGTCCTTTTCCCATGTCTATAGTGAGGTCCTGCAAGACTTCATGTTCTGTCCCTTATATGCTCCATAAGGATGAACTCCATGCAACTCAAGAGAAAATATTTTGTAGTTGATATCTTTCAAAATAGCCTATATGACTTTTTATGTATGCAGTCATTCAAAGTTCACATTTTAACAGGCCTAAATTTCTTATGTGGATTTTTGTCAGATGCCATTCCAGTAATTTTAGATCATTATTTATATATAAATAACCTCATGTGATAATGAGGATTTAGAAACATTTATCAGACACCTTACTAATGAGGACAAATGAAAAGAAAATTAAGACAAGATGGCAGTGTACATGTCTATACTTCCATGAGTGAGTCAGTCAACAACATTCTTTTGAATTTTCATTGCCTGAGAATACAGATAAGCTCTGTGGGAAATTACTAATGAGTTTACCATCTAATCAGAAAAGCAAAGCCAACAGGAACAGTTGCATACAAGGCTTTCATCACATAGAGAGCCAGAAAACCCACAGAACTAGCAAAGCCAAAAGATTAAGAACACAAGGATAAAAGGAAAAGATGAGGTCTCACCTAAATCACTGGGGATAATGAAGCCAAAAAAAGCCACAATGAAATGATACCTTTCAAATATTACCCCATGGTGTCCGCTATGTGTCTATTTCCCCCTGTTGGGTCCCCTCTTCTCTCCCATCCACATCCCAATTAGGTCATTCTGGGCTCATTGTCTCAGAGGAAAGATGTGACTTTGTGTAAAAGAAAGAATAAAAAAGAATCCTTTATCTTTTGTGTCCCATAGGCAGATGCCTTTAAAAAGTAGAAAAGCTTGGAAAAATTGTTTACTGGGGGTAAGAGAAGACATTTTCTCTTTACTTGACTAGAAAATGAGTCCCCAGATTTATTGGAGATAAAAGAGAGAGACATATGATGAGTATCTATGTATCAGCATGTCTGTGTTGAATGAGTCAGTCAGTCACCTGAAAAGGCATATTGGTGAATCTTGGATCAAGGTTCTTATGTCTTGCTTCCTGGTTAAAGTTGAGGGCGATGGACAGCAACATCTATGAAGATCAATGAGAACAATCATTAGAATAAAACCTAACTCTTAACCCACATACAATCCTAAGAAAGAAACAAGCCTCTTCAGAGGGTATGTACTGCACATGAATCAACAGCTTACAACCCAATAAATAATGGATGTCTCTATGGTGGGATGCCATAAGAGACCAGATGTTTCCATTCTTTTCTAATACCTCAGCCCATGCATATACCCATCTGGAAAGACAACGAGAGAGTCACACTGAGCGCTTCCACTCATCCCAGACTTATGTTAAAATTAGGTTGATTTATAGAAACGTATAACATGGGTTTGTGGATTCAGGTCTAGAGTCACACATGCTATAGGCTAGTTGGGAAGGTTTGAACCACCTAAAATGTAACAAATGTCTATTACATGCGAGAGACTAAGTAAAGGATCTTCCTCTAATTGATGCTCACCACAATCCATAACATAAAGAAACCAAGGCTCAGGAAATTTAAGAAGTATGCCAAGATGACCAAGTTCAGGAATAGCAGATCAAAAATTCTAGCCATTACCATGTAAGAAAGCCTGTATAATTACGGTCATTCTATTATGATTTCTACTGAACAGCAGTTTTGAAGTTAGAGTTCAGAATGAATAAGAGAAGAAGGAGAGCTTCCAAGGCAAGACACAGGAAAAGTCTGGATCACCTTTTTTCTCATGAGAAGGGAATCTTAGCTAGAGATGGGAGACAATCAGGTGTATATTCTTTTCTTATTATTTTTTAAATTTATTTTATATATTCAATCACTGTACATCACCACGGCTTGTAAAATAAATTTTCCCAACATGAATACACTGCACAACAGTCCAGGTAAAGATATCATATGCATTATAATCAGCAGTGTGTGTCCCTTGATCGTCTTACCTCTCTATTTTTCTCCTTGATTCCTTTACTCTCCTTTCCCCCACCTCTTACCCCCTCCCACACTGTCTTCAGTATCTGGAACCATTTTCCATGCTTCTATATCCTCAAATCTTTCTGTTTCCCCATAGAGTGCAGGCAGTCAGTATGGATTAAGTAGAGACATACAATGTCTCTCTTTCATAGTCTGATTTGACTCACTCATCAGTAAATCTTCTCTTCTTTAAAACAAGTAGTATTAGTTTTGGAGTAAGACAGTTTGGTGCAAACCTTGACTATGTTATACAATAACTATGTGGACTTGGACAGATAAGTAACCTAGATTAACCCCACCTCTTTATCTTTAAAATAGGAGTAATATCTTTCTCAAGGGCCATTGTGAGAAGTAAATGAAAAAAAAAAAAAATGTGGATAAAATATTCCACCTAGGGGCCAGTGGTGGCAGTGTTGGGATAGGACCTATATAGGAAGGTAAATCCAAGCTCCTGGTGTTCTCAGTGTCAGACAGACACAGACTGCATTTGAAATAGAGTTGACATGGAGTGAGCAGAAGCTTCTTAAGTTACTTCCAACTGGGAAAAAAAAATTCCTTGCTGAACCCATCAAATATGGCTAAAACTGAATAGGACTTCAGACTCGATAAACTGGCCACCATCGTCTTGCAGATGCTGGCTCACCATAACCCTGAGAAGCTATGTTTCCAAGTTTGGTGAGCGTGTATTGAGTTGCCTAAAATGAAACCACATCATGATTCACACCAGAAGGGATAGAAAGATAAATAAGATGCAGCTTTTGCCCTCTAGAAGTTCACAAACATGAGGGGAAAAAAGTTTACACGGACACAAAGCAGACTAATAGACAGTACAAGAGAGAGTGAAGGAAGTAGTACTGGTTTTGGAGTAAGAGTGTGCTGACTAGAGAGGGAGTAAGGAAAAGTCTGCTAGAAGAAATGATATTTAAAAATGCCTTCAAAGATGGTTGTAACTATGTATGTGGAGTCTGAGAGAAGAGGGTGGGGCAGAAGGAGAGGGTAGAGCAGAGACTATAGTTTGTGCAATGACAGTTGGTTAAAAAGCCCATGGTGTGTCCAGTGATAAAATGTGGCCAGAATTATTGCATAGTAGAAAATAACCATGGGTGGTCAAAATTTGGTGGGAGCCCAATGCCAGGCAAGGAGTCAAGAATGTATGTTACATACAATGGAGAGCTGTTTGGCACTGTTTTGTAAAGTGGCTGGAACTAAACTGAGTGAGTCAGGGCAGTATCGTTATTTATTACATGTTATAACTAGAACAAGTAAGTACATCTTACTAAGTAATGGCACACAAAGGAAGTAATATGATTACCATAAAACTTTGGTTTCTGGGCCAAATCATAGCCTAGTGGTTAAGGAAGCTGGATCTCACATGGCTGACCACACCTTGACCATTGGTCTCCATAGCTTGAAAAGCACACAGGTATATGTTTTTGTGCCCAAATCCCAGCGGGATGGATAAATGAAGGAGAAGAAATTGTAGTGTGACCATACCATGTGGGAGATGCTTTCTTCTCTTTCTTTCTTTCTGTCTCTTTTTGGTGAACACATGTGTCCTCTGGCATAAATAAATAAATAAATAAATAAATAAAAACAACTTAGGCTTCTGCCTCTGAATTTAATATTTTTTTCTAATCTAAATCCAGTGGTTGTCAACTTTAGGTGCAAAATAAAGTCACCTGAAAGTGCTACAAAAAAAAAAAGGAAAAAAAAAATCATGTTTGAGTCTCATAAATTCTGAGATATCTAGTCTGGCACGGAACCTGAGCACTGGTAATTTTTAACTCCCTAGCCGAGTCTAACGTTCAGGCAAAGTTAAAACTCACAAAGTGTTGTCCCTGGACCAGCAGCATCAGAATCATCGGAGAGCTTTTCAGAAATGCAGACTCCTGGGCCCCCAACTCAAACAAACTGAATCACACATTGCATAGTTTACAAAAATCTCTAGGTGGTTTGTAAATATATCAAAATTTGAGTAGAGCCTATGTACACAGTACTGACTACCCACTCCCAAGTCTATTTTAGCCTGAAAAAGGAAGAAGAGCCCCAAATATCTAGATATAAGATTGTTGCTGAATCACATAACAAAAACACAAAGTTATCTTAAATTTGCCAGGTCAGGGCTTCACTGCATGGCACCAGGTGACTGAAAGGGAGAAGAGGTTGCAGGAAGTGTTTGTTTAAGTGGAAGGGATTTCTGACAGAAGCACAGAGCCCTAAAATAGTTGGAGGCAGATGGGGTCAGCAGATGCTTGGGTGACGGAGAGAGCTCCTGGGAAGTGATGGTGACAGCGCGTGCTCCTGCTGCAGTCTCGAGGCCCAGAGGACAGTGAAGCAATGCCCTGGGGCTGTCTGGTTCTGGCCCCTTCTCCTCTGAGAAGGATGCAGGATTTTCTCCTCACTGCCATCCACCAAGAGACTGCCTCTCTATCATCATTTTTATCTGTAGTCATTAAGCTGCAAATCCCCAGCTGTGCTCAAGTTAAAAGAAAAAGCTCAGGACCAGCCATGGGCATGTGGCAGCCTGCACTATAGACCACTGCACAGATGAGGAATCAAAGCTTTAACTGTTGGAAGCCATTACCAAGCAGCACCTTGCCTTCAGAAAATGATTATGAAATTGCAAACTTGTGCTTTGTGTCTAAAAGATATGCCTGGTAAGGAGCCAAGTGCTCCAGGGCACCAAGAATGCTGAGAGCAGGAAGAGAACATTGCAGCCACAAAAACTCATCTCAGAGTGAAAACGACTAGCAGAAGCATCACCTGCTCACTCCTTCAGCAACTTCCCAGCTCACTCCCAGGGAACCAACCTGAGGCACAATCTCAGGCTCCACAAGGGAAAAGAAATGTCACCGGGGTCTTCACAGTTGCCAGTAACCAAGTCTCAGTGAATTAAGAAATGATTTAGACATTTAAAGTGACAGTTTGCACCTGGATTCTTTCTCTATTCTATTAATAATGGCAAATCTACAGGTTGCTCTAGTGTCTGTTTCCCATGCAGAAAAAGATAATGACACCAGAGGTTAACCTCTCCTATAAGGATAGAACTCTTCTAAAAGGAATTGCTCCTATAGCAAACTTAGACAAATAAATAAATAAAAGTTAGCTTAGGGGCCATCAGGTAGTGTGGAAGTTAAGGCTCTGGATCCCACGTGGTCGATTGTGTGGTCGAAGTCCTGAATCCAGCAGCTTGAAAATCACACCAGGCACATGTGCACACATGCCCAAAATCCTAAGAGGACACCATGGTAGAAGGGATTGAGTTGAGACGCAGCCATCCCTGCTGGGGGATAATTTTTCATCTCTCTCTCTCTCTCTCTTCCTGGCAGTACACATACCTTATAGCAAAAAAAAAAAAAAAAAATCAGTTTAGGCCAACTGTGACACAGTGGTAATGGGATGTTCCACAATGTGGCAGCCACACATGGAACATTTCGAAGTTCAGGTCCTGTGATCTCTCTGTAAACTGTGCTCATGCGCATTTATAATCCTAGCTGGCTCAGGATGGGAGAGAATTGCAACATGAGAATCACAGCATGGGAAGACTCTGTTGTGGGTCTCTTTCTCACAGAAGAAAAAAACAAGCTTTAAAAAAATTAGCCTGGCTATAAAAGACAACTGTATGCCCCAATTTAACATATACCAAATGCCCACACTGTGGTGGAAACTGAGGGACTTGATGGCATAGAAATAGAGAGAGTAATGGTAGATACCGGTAGCTGCATGGAAATGGGGAAGAGGGTCAGGAGAAGGTGATTAACAGATGTAAAGATGCATGTAAGCAAGTGGAAACATGCACCACCCCCAAGCAAAGAACGTCACTGACAGTTCAATATATATTTCCAAGAATAAAAAGGAACTAGAGTGAAAAGTGAATATGCACAACATAACGTAATATTCAATGTGGACTATCAATATGCATATATCCTTAATTTGATTGTTACATACTGTATGCACGCTTTGAAAAGCCATACTATATCCCACGAAGATGTACAATTTTATGTAAACTAGTATCACAATTATAAAAATAAACATTAAAAAAAAATTAACTTGAAGACTAACTCCAGTGACAGCCAAATCTGCAGAGGTTTCAATCACAACTGGGGACTGCTTAGAATCAATTCAGGTCCCTGAAGAGATGAGCTGACAAAATGCAGGGTAGCCTCTGGTCAACACTTACTGCAGAACATGGCTCCTGATCCAGCCATCAGGAGAGGAAGCACTCAGCTAGTGCTGGCCACTACTTCAACCTCTATTGTTAATATTTTAGGTTGAACTGCATGAAATGGCCATGTTGGGGTCAGCTGGTGGCATGGTGGTTAAGGCAACTAGATCCCACTGTGTAGTTCAAGTCCTGTGGCTGACTGTACAAGTCAAGTCTGGACACAGAAGCCCTGAAAAACATGCCAAGCATGTGTACATGCATGCCCAAAATCCTGAGAGAAGAAAAGAGGAGAAAAAATTGTGGTATGGCCATTTTCCTTGGGGCAGTGCTTTCTCACTTTTTCTTCCCTCCCCCCTTTCTGTCCTCTCCAAATTGTTTTTTTTTTTTTTTGGGGGGGTTTTCGCTATAGGGCGCGTGCGCTCGCCAGACAGAGAGAGACATAGAGACAGAAAGCGAGAAATCACCCCCAGGGGGGATGGTTACGCCACAATCCCTCCTCCTCCAGTCTCCTCTCAGGATCTTGGGCACGCACGCACATGCGCCCAGTGTGAGTTTTAAGCCACCGGGTCCGGGACACGAACCGCGGTCGACTACGTGGGAGTCCAGCAACATAGCCATTACGCTAACTGCTGGTTCCCTCCAAATTGTTTTTTAAATGCAATTTTTTGTGGGTCAAAAATGGTCAGATAATGGCAAGTTCCTGTGTTTCATCTGCTATCAAATTGGCCAAAAGGTGCTAAACAGTTAATGTAGAAAAGACTGCAGTGAGATAAGATTGCTTTTACGCTCTTGGACGTAATATAATTGAGATAATCTTCCTAGAGATAAATTTGTAATATGTACCAAAACCCTTAATTTTTTTATACTGTCTAACACAAAAATTCCATATCTAAAAATACATCATAGAAGTACAAAGATGTATTTTGAAACATTTTTAAAATAATTACTGCAATGTCCAACATTATGGTATAGTGGAAAAATACCATACCATATTCATAGAAGAAAATGCAATATAACCATTAAAATTGTATTTTTTAAAGAATTTAATGACATAAGAAAATGCTCATAATATTGGGACCAGCAGTTGGCATAATGGCTATGTCATTGGACTCCCATGTAGTCAACCGCGGTTTGAGTCCCAGACCTGGTGGCTTAAACTAATGCCAGGCATGTGTGCATGCATGCACAAGATCCCAAGAGGAGAATAGAGGAGAAGGGATTGCAGCGTGGCCATCACCCCTGGGGGGTGATTTCTCACTTTCTGTCTCGGTCTCTCTCTTTCTCGTGAGCACATGCACCCTATAGCTAAAATCTCCCCCCCCCCAAAAAAAGCTCATCATATAATGCTAGCTAAAATCTCCCCCCCCCCAAAAAAAAAGCTCATCATATAATGCTGGGAGATACAGAATTATACAAAGATATCAAAAATATAAACACTAGGAGATATAATCTTGTGTGACTTTCATTTGCTTTTTCATTTCCTAAATATGTCTAGGTTTTTGGAATTACATAAATTTTTATAATTTACAAAAGAAACCCAAAGTCACCTACCCACACTGAACTTGGAGACTGAAGACTGAAACTGTATCCCTGTTCACACACACATGTACACACACATACACACACACGCACACACATAAATACACAGTTTACTGTATATTAACATGCTATTTACTGTTCTAAAGCAATCTTGCCCAGGCAAATGTCTTGATTATTCACTATAGGAATTTCCTTAAAAACACACCAACTCTTACATGAAAAACATTGACTATTGCACCCTCAACTTAGTTGAATCATTTGCCTCAAATATCCTCATCTCACTGTTAATAATAATCCAAGAATAGTGTATCTTATCCAAATCTAATGAGACACACACACACACATACACACACATGGAAAGAACTTCCTTAAACCAAACTTCCAATTGTCTATGAATTCTGATCTTACCTTCTCCCGGGAGCACACTACCAGAGCTCTTTGGAGATGATGTTCTCCATGATGGCAGTGAACAAGAACCTCAGCTCTTGTCTCATCAGCCGACGTATTGGAGATATCTGGGAGCCAGCACAGGACAAAGTGATAGTTGGGAAATGCTATCAGATGTTTTCTATATGTCAGGCACCACACAATATGCTGTAAGAGATTTGCTAGCATAATAATAAAAAAAAGATAACCAATAATGCAAAGATGCAGAAAAGAAAAGTAGGTTAGGTCACAGGACTCTTCCATTTTCACTAACATTCAAGACAACACTGGCTGAGCACTTCCTCTCCAGCTAGGTAAGTGAGAAGCCATGCATCTGCATGGTGACCAGAGGCTACATTTTTCTTGGCTAATCTCTTCAGGGACCTGTGTTGATTCTAAGCAGTCTCCAGTTGTGATTGATACCTCTGCAGATTTGGCTGTCACTAGAGCCACATATGAGAAGGCAAAGGGAGTATATTTGCCATGCATGAAAAGTAGAACCATTAGATAATCCCCAATGACGTTTTCCTTTGTGTAATCCCTTCGCCTTTGAGTGTTGGTGGGAGCTATGATATGACAGGATGTCACCACTGTGATCATGTGGTTAAGGTTACATGGTAAATGGGAATTTTAGTTGACTTTGAGATAATTGAAAGGAAAATTATTCAGCTAAACCTAATCTAATCACAGGAGCCCCTTAAAAGCACAATTGTCTCAAGTCAATGACAGAAGAGGAAATTAGGAAGATTCCAAACATGTGGAAGGTGGTCTACATGAAGAGGGTCACATGGGCAGGAAGGCAGGTGGTCTCTGAGAGCTAAGGGTGGGCCCCAGATGACAGCCAACAAGAATATGGGCATTTCTATCTTATAATCACAAGTAACTGAAATATGCTGTCTTAGTCTATTCAGGCTGTTATAACAATATATTACATAAATTGGGCAGTTGAAAACAGCATAAATCTATTTTTCACAGTTCTAGAGGCTTGGGAGTCCAAGATCCAGACACCAAACAATTCGGTGCTTGGTGAAGGCTGGCTTTATCATGGGTGGTGTCTTCTCACTGTGTCCTCATATAGCAGAAGGCACAAGCAAAATACCTGGTGTTCCTTTCACAATTAATACCATTCATAAGGGCTCCACCCTTATGTCCTACTCAACTCTCCAAAGTCCCCACCTTTTAATATAATCACATTGAGGGTTAGGATTTCAACATACGAATTTGGGGAAAAATAAACCTTCATACCAAAGCATCTGCCTCAATTCAGATGAGCTTACCTTTTCTTTTTTAAGTTCCCTATGGAAACTTAGGCTTGAATAACTACAGCAAACATTGGTACTCTGGCTATTGCTATTATAATAAATAGCAAACTACACTTTACCTCAGACCTAGCCTGTGACTGGCTAACTTGTTGCTTGCAAGTTAGCAAAGTCTCATATCCCTCACAGTTCCTGATGGCCTCATGTTACTGATTTCAACAGACTAACCAAGGTCTTGAAGCCATAGGTTTACATTTGATCCTTTTTTCATTTTTCATTTAATAAATACATAGTTATCAAGTGCTTAATCAATAATAGGTAATTTCCAAGAGTCCGGGGACAAGTGAGTCCAGAATTATGCAAAACAAAATCTCCTAATGTGGTAGGGGGAGTCTTCCAGAACAAAGGGAGATAATGGGCATACTTGGAACTTAAGTATGCATGTGCAACCTGTAGTAACTTTGTAGCCTTGTCTCCATAGCAACTCTGTAACTTTATGTATGCCTGTGTATCTAACAGCCCAGTAGCCCAGTGCATACCTGCATAATTCTGTAGCAATTTTACCACATATATTAACCAATCAGAAGTATGTAAAAGTGTATATAACCATTTAAGGAGAACAAAAACTAAACTGAATACAAGGAAGGGCCCTGACAAATTTGGGGCCCAGCTTTCAGATGCGAATCTGCTGAGCAGGTGCTGGCACAAATAAATTGCTGTTTTCCTGCAAGAGCCTCAGTATCCTGTCTCTCTCTCATTGAATATCCCACAACACTAATAAGAAATAAAAATCTCATAATAAAACAAAGTCTAAGTGAGATAAGACAGGAAACAATCAGGTAGTCAAATGGGTAACCAAGATAATTTCAGAGAGTGCAAGTGATGGAAAGAAAATTCAGAATAATATAATGGAGAGTGTTTGGGGTAGACGTGCAAAGAAGGATGATTCAAAGCTAGGTTGTTAAGGAAGGCCTCTAAGAGGCAGTGAAATTGGAGCTAAGCTGTCAACAATAAGTATACTAGTCATGAGATGGCCTAGAGGGAGAATATTCCAGAAATAGCCACTGTGGATGCCCTATAGCAAGAGGATGATGTATTCAGGAAGAGAAAGGCCAAGGAGAAACGTGGAAGATAAGGTTGGAGAGGTGTGCAGGACCAGATCTTAGAGAGCCTTAGAAATCACAGAAGAGGTTGGTTAACATCTCTGCTCTCAGTACTTGTGGAGAGCAGCCTATCTTAGCAAACATGGTGACCTTTAGACACTTGCAGAAACATGGTTCTGTGAGCTTCATTTGCAAGGCATGAAGGCAATTTGCATATGATTATGTAGCTGCCTGTTGTTATCAAAACTGCAGAGCAGTATTGGGCTAAAGAAAATCATGCGTGTTTATCAAAACCAACCCAAAAGATCACAGAAATGACATGGCACTAGTTGTCCTTGCATTAGCAGTCAATTAACATCTGAAAACAACTGGCTTTGCATTCCATTTCCTCTCTCTTTTTTCTGCCTTATAAAATAATAAACCTGAGACTGGTTCAGGGTATGGCTTTCTCCTGACTTTCTCAAAACAGTCAGGCCCACCCAATCCTTGCTTTTCTATTCTTGTATGTCTTTATATATTTTTATAAACACACAGCCCCCCCCCCAGTCAAAGAAAACACATTCTTCTAAGCAGATCCAGGCAAGTACCCTTAGCTTCTCTCCAAATAGACTTACATGCTCCTCCCCTCTGAAGTCATCTGCTTGGGCACATTCTGGAAGTGCTCTAGATGGCTTTCTTGATCAGAAAGTGAGTGGTAATTGCCTCAAGTCTTTAACTTATGGCCTGCATTAAATTTTGCATTGATATGAGTGAATTTTTTTTTGAAGAGGTTTTTGCTATAGAGCATGTGCATTCATTAGAAAGACAGAGAGAAAGTGAGAAATCACCCCCTGGGGGGATGGCCATGCCACAATCCCTTCTCCTCCATTCTCCTCTTGAGATCTTGGGCATGCACGCACACACTCATGGCGTGAGTTTAAGCCACCAGGTCTGGGACTCAAACCATGGCCGACTACATGGGAGTCCAGTGACATAGCCATTACACCACCTGCTGGCCCCAGATATGAGTGATTTTTTTAAGGTGAAGAGTGTGTCAGGGCCATCTCCAAAAGCAGAATTTCAGATTCCTACATCAGGGAGAAGAAACTTCATAAAAGATGCCCTCAAGAATGATTCCTGTGGGAACCAGCAGTTAGCGTAATGGCTATGTCGCTGGACTCCCACGTAGTCGACCGCGGTTCGCGTCTCGGACCCAGTGGCTTAAATCTCACGCCGGGCACGTGTGCGTGCGTGCCCAAGATCCCGAGAGGAGAATGGAGGAGAAGGGATTGCGGCGTGACCATCCCCCCTGGAGGGTGATTTCTCGCTTTCTGTCTCTGTGTCTCTGTCTGTCTGGCGAGCGCAAGCGCCCTGTGGCGAAAACCTCTCCAAAAAAAAAAACAAAACAAAAAAAACAAACAAACAAACAAAAAAGAATGATTCCTGTCATGCCAGCAGACAAGACAGACTGCTTTGGTTCAAGCTGAATTCCAGGATATAGGTGCTCATCTCTGGTAGCAAAGTGAAAAGTGGCTTTTGGTGGCTTATGCTTCCTTAAGAGTATTATTTGGGGACCAGCAGTTAGCATAATGGCTATGTCACTGGGCTCCCATGTAGTCGATCGCGGTTCAAGTCCTGGACCCGGAGGCTTAAACTCATGCCAGGCGTGTGTGCATGCATGCCCAATATCCCAAGAGGAGAATGGAGAAGAGACTGCAGCATGGCCATCCCCCCTGGGGGAGTGATTTCTCGCTTTCTATCTCTCTGTCTCTCTCTGTCTTTCTGGAGAGCGCACGCACCCTCTAGCGAAAATCTCTCAAAAAAAAAAAAAGTGTTATTTGGCACTCAACAATTTGTAGCTTCCTTTAAAAGAAAAAAGAAAAAAGAAAAGAAACAGGATATTGACCTAAAATCTTGTGGCAAGGAAGGTCATTAGATGATTATTTTAATTCCTTGCTTCTATATCAAGCTCAAAATTGGAGTAAAATTCATTTAGTCAAATGAACCAAATTAGTTAAATCTCCAAATAGAGTAAAACTAATTTAATTAGTCAACTACCTTAAAGAAATTGTAATACTAGAACTAAAAAGTCTGTGGTATGATATAAATAGTTAAAGAAAGGCTGCCTTATTCTTTTCAGTAAGTAGAACAACTGGAGATTACCACTTACGTGAAATTTCTAAAGCAATTCTGCAACTAGAGATTCAATGAATGGATGTACTGTGATTCTACTTGATCTAGACAATCATACAGTTCATGCAGTCTCTGATTGCATATGTGACTTATAGTTCTCTTCTATTTAAAAATGATTTCATCTTTAAGTATTATTTTCTTAGCAGATAATTTTTTCATGGATAATTCATAGGTAATCTTGTCATCCATCAAGACTAAGACTGCCATATTACTAGTGCCTCAATTGACAAAGTTATATCAGAGTCCTATAATCATTTCATAATGATTGGTGATATCTTAAGGAGATTGAGAAATACTTGAATAGGACAGAACTACTTGAATTTTCTGGGTAAAACATAAGAGAAGGCTGCCATTCAAGTAAGAGGTAGGCCTGTTTCAGAGAACCAATGCAGTAGTGAGAGATCTGAGAAGGTGTTCACCAGGCAGCAAATCTGTGGACTAGGTGGAGTTGACTACAGAACATGATGGCTACACATCTTGAGTCCAAGTAAGATTCTTCCCAAAATTCAACTAAAATGGACAGAGTTTCTCAAAATCATTCAGTAACAACATTTA